TTGTCTATATGCCAATAAGGGTTTGAGATTGAGATTGAACTGGTTCAATATTCATTCCCTCTCCTCGGGGAATCATGGGAACTGTAGTTCACAGCTGTCAACATTTCCCTTTTTAAAAGGGAAATTCCTTTATTCTGAATAGGATTCCTCGCAAGAAAAGGGAAACGTTGACAGCTATGCTGTAGTTTTGTGAGGAATGTCAGCGTGAGACCTCTCATAGCTCCCCCTTGAACAAGCTACAGATCTATGGAAATAGGCATAACAAACTGACATAAACGTCACCGACTCATAAAACTTTGCAACCTAGATGTGTCACCATGCCAAGGGCTATAACCCAGTCAGACCACAATGTAGTACTTGCTGCTGCAAATACGTTATAAATAACCCAGCAAAAAAGACTGGGGCGTGCAATGCTAAGACTTCTTTCTGGAAATGCGTCTCCAGGGGGCTGCACATTTGATCATAGCAGCGGCACGGAGAAAAATAAGCTCCTTAAACCTTTCTCTGCTGGATAGTTATGTGATCAAAACTGCCCACTGGTGAGAAAGTAGCTTGGAGGTGATCTGGGTTGCAGAAAGGGCTTGCAGAGAGAGGGTTTTGCATGCCATCCCTTAGCGCTGCAGCTGCAATTGGAATTCATAGCTCCCTCCCCCCAAGGCTGTATTTCACTAAAAACCCAAACCAAAAAAACAGTCCATCGGACAACGAAGGCTTTTTCTTGTCTATGTGACTAGCATGTCCAGTATGGTTTAAATAAGGATTAAATAAGGATTGTTGTTGTTTAGTCATTTAGTCATGTCCGACTCTTCGTGACCCCATGGACCAGAGCACGCCAGGCACTCCTGTCATCCACTGTCTCCCGCAGTTTGGTCAAACTCATGCTGGTAGCTCGAGACACTGTCCAACCATCTCGTCCTCTGCCGTCCCCTTCTCCTTGTGCCCTCAATCTTTCCCAACATCAGGGCTTTTCCAGGGAGTCTTCTCTTCTCATGAGGTGGCCAAAGTATTGGAGCCTCAGCTTCAGGATCTGTCCTTCCAGTGTCCTTCCACACTTCACACTTCTTTGAAGTCTCTCAGCCCCACTCACCTCACAGAGTGTTTGTTATGGGGGAGGAAGGGAAAGGAGAATGTTAGCCGCTTTGAGACTCCTTCGGGTAGTGATAAAGCGGGATATCAAATCCAAACTCCTCCCCTTCTTCTTCTTCTTCTTCTTCTTCTTCTTCTTCTTCTTTTTCTTCTTCTTCTTCTCCTCCTCCTGAGGTACTATTTCTGGGTTAGCGGAGTCTGTAACCTGAAGCCGAGGTCCCACTGTATTTCTTACTTGGGGCTCCTCAGAACTACTTCCCTGCCTACAACTGCTTGCAGAACACTTTGGTTCCTGGCGGCATCTATTGCCACGGTCTTTTGACTTCTTTGCATCTGCCCACGTTTTGGTGCAACAAGCGCTGTGTTCAAACAACGGCTGGATGTGTCAGCCAGCTTCATTTCAAACCACAGTGCCACTCTCCTTTTCCAAAGATTATATGTGTCAGGGAAGCTCTCTGCTCCTCGAGGGCCATTCACTCTGTCCAGAGGCCTTCACAAATCATCTTTATCTCTCCGCCGCCTTCCAGCCTGCATACAATATGTGCATTTGGTATGCAAGGAAGTCCCTCTGAGAAGCAGAACAGAATCCCTAGCTTTCCAAATGAACGATCTGCCATTGATCTGGAGGAGCAGCTGTGCTAGCTCAGCTCAGTAGGGACCCCGTTATACTTGGTACGGTTGGAATGCTCCTGGCATTCCAGAGTTTCTTTCGGCAGTGCCTGTGAGATAATTTTGGGATAGGACTTCGTCAGATTTTTTTCTGCAGTTCCCATGTGCCCATCAGCAACCCATCGAGCAGAGCTCTGGGCCTGGTTGTGAGACACCCACATTTAAAACCTCAGTTAGACCCACAATAAAACCCATTGCCTCCTCCCGACATTCACTGCAGCCACCATCTATCTAATGTTAGGGCCACTTGGTTCCAACCAGAGAATCCTGCAGGAGGGATTCTCAGACAACTGTCCATGGAGGTGCAGGTTAATTCTGTGTCCAGCTCCATCTGGTACGCAGGCTGAGACCCCACCTGCCCGTGGACTGTCTTGCCAGAGTGGTGCATGCTCTAGTTATCTCCTGCTTGGACTACTGCAATGCACCCTACGTGGGGCTACCTTTGAAGGTGACTCAGAAACTGCAATTAATCCAGAATGCAGCAGCTAAACTGGTGACTGGGAGCAGCCGAGACCATATAACACCGGTCCTGAAAGATCTTCATTGGCTCCCAGTATGTTTCCGAGCTCAATTCAAAGTGTTGGTGCTGACCTTTAAAGCCCTAAACGGCCTCAATCCTGTGTACCTGAAGGAGCGTCTCCACCCCCATCGTTCTGCCCGGACACTGAGGTCCAGCTCCGAGGGCCTTCTGGCAGTTCCCTCACTGCGAGAAGTGAGGTTACAGGGAACTAGGCAGAGGGCCTTCTTGATAGTGGCACCTGCCCTGTGGAATGCCCTCCCAGCAGATGGCAAGGCAATAAACAACTATTTTACTTTTAAAAGACAATTGAAGGCAGCCCTTTTTAGGGAAGTTTTTAACGTCTGATGCTGTTTTGTTTTTAATATGCAGTCTCCCTAAGAAGAATCTGGTGGTCCACCCCGTCCTTTATTAGACTTAGCTTTCCACTTGTCCTTAAGAGAAGGAGTCTTGATTTGTGTCCAATGGCCAACCTGTCCTGGACTATCTTTTCTGCCTCTTCCCATCTTAGTCCTTGGAATCTGACCATTTACGTGTTTGGGCAATGCTTTTTCTCTCTGTCCCGCTTGGGCCTTGACGGTCATTGATTGGCTGAGCTATGTGGTGGCATAGAATGCCCAGCTGATCAGGGAACAATGTGCTTTTCAATTCAGCTTCTGCTAGAGAATGGGAAATTGTCAAGTTTGCCAGGGTCAAAGCCTTACATGGCGGGGCTGAGATCCGAGATGGGATCCCAGGACTTTGGAAAGCGAAGGGGTAGGTTGCTCAGAGGCAAGGAGGCTGAGGCAATAGTGCAGGGTAGGCTACTAACTGAAAAAGGAAAGTACCGTATTTTTCGCTCTATAGGACGCACTTTTTCCCCTTCAAAAATGAAGGGGAAATGTGTGTGCGTCCTAAGGAGCGAAGACGCCATAGCCCCGTTTACCCTCTCCCGGCTGGAGAGGTGACGCGCGGCTATGGCAGGAGCCCCTTTAGCCGCACGCCACCTCTCCAGCTGGGAGAGCGCATGTGGGGCTAAAGAAGCCATAGAAGCTTTCCGCTGCTCCCCGACCTGCTCTTTGGGGCTGGTGGTGGGCTTCCCCCCGCCAGCCCCAAAGAGCAGGTCGAAAGGAACCTGAAGCCTGGAGAGTGAGAGGGGTCGGTGCGTACCGACCCCTCTCGCTCTCCAGGCTTCCAAGGCGACTGAACGCACCTGAACGGCGACCTGTTTTAGAGGGGAAAACAAGAGGGGAAAATTCTCCCCCTCTCTGCGCAGCGCCTCCTGCCGCTTCGCTGAAGGGGCGCTGCGCAGAGAGGGGGAGATTTTTTTTTTCTTGTTCTCCCCCCTCTAAAACAAGGTGCGTCCTATTGTCCGGTGCGTCCTATGGTGCGAAAAGTACGGTAAATGGTGGATAGGTGTAAAATTAGGCTTCTTTAAAATGGGAGAAGAGGAGATAAAGGACCTTCAGAGAGGGTGCCTTAAGAAATTTTACAGGACGAAGAGAAAGGAGAAGAGGAGTCTTCAGATGTTGCTGGTCTCCTACATCCATCAGCCCCAGCCAGTATGGTCAATGGCATGGGATGATGAGAGTTGCAGTCCAAATTATCTGTAGGGAATCATGTTGGGAAAGATTGTGATGGAGGGATAAGGGGTTGCTAGGGCAGCTGGTCAAGAAAAAGGGTAGGTAGAAGAGGAGGGGCAAAACAGGTGACCCTCTGAAAATCCAGGATCGACATGGGTGCTGGAAGAATGAAATTGAAGAAAGGAGAATCCAAGGAAAACGTAGAACTCATTGTGAATTTATTTTAACCAAGCGTTTATGGATTGTATCTCAGATATTATGCAATCATTTGTTCTGGGTATTTGACTGTATATATATGCCCTGTGTGTTATTATTTTTACATGCATTTACAGGAAATATTATCTTGCTAAAATGTTGACTGAAATGTGTTCCTTTTAAGCTGAAACTATCGGCGTTGTCATCTTGATGCAGAACATACTTCTTGCTTTCTGTATTCCTTTTCGGCACTGGAATCTCTCACGGGAGATATACAATTAAAAATAATGCTTGCCATCTTTTAGAAAGTCAATGTGGCAAAGATCAGACTTATAATGTGGCTTGACTTTATTATCCAATGTGTTAGAAGCAGCCATTTGGATCCAACCTGATATCAAAGAAAGTTCCCATCAAGAGGAAGGATGTAAAGAATCCTACTTTTAAAAGGCTTTTAACTGCAACCACGCTCCATAACAAAATTACAACAGCAGTGGGTTCCTCTTAAATAGCACTCTCCTCCCTCTATAACCTTGTTTCAGTAATAGTCTAATAATTCATATACCATGACTAATGCACAATCCACTTTGTTCCAGGAAAGGAGAGAGGCTAGAGGGTTGTTTGTTTTTTTGCTTCAGGAGACAAATGTTGTAAAATGTTTTCCCCTTCCCAATACATACTGACTTTGCATTTCCTGCTTGTTGATTATGTGGAAGAACTCATTCAACTGAAAGAATCTGTTGCACAATAGACACAGAGCCATTAGGGCAGAGAGTGGTCCATTTGGGAATCCCAACCAACTCCTGGAAGGCCAGTACTCTAGAACACTCTGAACACCCTGCCTGGTAGGGGAAGATCCATACTGTAGTGGTGGCCAAGTTTGTGGTTTAATGAAAGCCACCCACTATTGTCGTTCCCTTTATTTAGGAGCCTCTGATTTGCTTCCCAAGAACTCGGAAAACCACTGCCCATTTGGAGGTGGTTCCATGGTTCAGTAGTAGAACATACAGTCTGCAAGTGGGAGGCCCTGGGTTCAAATCCTGGCATCTCCAGATAGATCTGCGAAATGTTGTTGTTATTGTTGTTTAGTTGTTTAGTCGTGTCCAACTCTTCGTGACCCCATCACCAGATCACGCCAAGCACTCCTGTCTTCCACTGCCTCCCACAGTTTGGTCAAACTCATGCTGGTAGCTTCGAGAACACTATCCAACCATCTCGTCCTCTGTCGTCCCCTTCTCCTTGTGCCCTCCATCTTTCCCAACATCAGGGTCTTTTCCAGGTAGTCTTCTCTTCTCATGAGCTGGCCAAAGTATTGGAGCCTCAGCTTCAGGATCTGTCCTTCCAGTGAGCACTCAGGGCTGATTTTCTTCAGAATGGATAGGTTTGATCTTCTTGCAGTCCATGGGACTCTCAAGAGTCTCCTCCAGCACCATAATTCAAAAGCATCAATTCTTTGGCGATCAGCCTTCTTTATTGTCCAGTTCTCACTTCCATACATCACTAGATCTGCGAAATACTCGCATCTAAAACTCTGAGGGTCGTTGCTAGTCAGATTGGGAGTGGGCAAAAAGCATGTCAGGATTTCCTAATAGAAATAAACAAAGCGTTGAGACCCGAGGTCCCCAGTTTCACTTGAAGCACTTGCAGTGGCAAGATTCAGCTGCCCATTGGCAAGCGCAATGCGTTCAGATGAATCACTGGAGCTGGAAGAAAGGAAAGTGATTGTGTGTGAGAGTTGCACTGCGCTTCAGAAGTACTCTTGGTGTTGCGATGGAGCTTGAGATGGATTTCAGCAATGAGGAGGGCAGGAGTTGTCCCTGCAATTCTGCTGGGCTTGGAAAATCTCAGTAGCCTATTGCAATGGAAGGGGCGATTCTGACTGTTGAGATAGAAATGATGTAGGGATGTGAATAGATGCTAGGGGAGGATATATTTATTAGATATTATCCTTCCTACCTCATGTTTGTGAGTTTGGCAGAGTGCATTCATTTGCAGCTTAAAAGGAAGCTTAGATAGGCTAGTGTTAGACTTTTAGTTTAAGTTATCCAGGATGCCTTAAGCCAGACTGGATTTTCCTGGTCTATCCCCCTTTTCTCCCCCTAAAAACAATAATCGCACAAACAGCCTTGTAAAAATAACATTTAATTAACAGATACAGCAGCTTTGATCAGGCAGGCTGAAAATGGTAATTCAGTTACAAAGACATACCTTAGTCTATCTTAAGATGGTGTCTGAGCTCCATCAGCAGGTATAAAAACCTACTGGAGCCTAAAACTCCATATTGGGTATCGCCATTGGAAGTAATGAGTGTTAAAAAGATCAATATGACAGGGAAATGGATAACATATGGAAATTTAATAAGTAAAGAAGGAAATAAATGGAAGTTGAAACCATATGAAGATGTGAAAGGATATGCAAATGATTGGCTGCATTATTTTCAGTTGAATGAAATGCTCAAAAAAGAGTTATTGGAAAGAGGTTTTTCTGAAAAAGAATCTAGGTTTCAACAAGAAATATTGAATAATGAGGTTAAAATCTTATCCAAAATGTATAAACTATTATTAGAGTGGTATACAAAGGATGAAGAGGTTAAATCGGTTATGATACACTGGGTCAAAGATTTTGGACATAATATTCAATTTGATGATTGGATAAATTTGTGGAAGGAAGGAATGAAGTTTACTGCATGTACCACAATAAAAGAAAATGTTATGAAAATGATATATAGATGGTACGTAACACCGGTAAAACTTGGTAAGATGTATAAAATGAGTAATAAATGTTGAAAATGTAAGGAAAAAGAAGGAACATTTTATCATATGTGGTGGGAATGTAAAAAAGTAAAATGTTTCTGGGAAATGATTTATAATGAGTTAAAGAAAATGTTGAAATATACATTTGTTAAGAAGCCAGAAACATTTTTACTAGGAATGTTAGGTTATGAGATTAAAAAGAAAGATGAGAAAATATTTTTATATGCGGTAGCAGCAGTTAGAATTCTGATGGCCCAGAAATGGAAACAAGAACTGCCTACGATTGAAGAATGGAGAATGAAACTGATGGAATACGCAGAACTGGAAAAAATAACAGGGAGGGTTCGGACTAGACGAGATCAGAGATTCACTGAAGACTGGAAGAAATTTACAGAATATATCAAACATATTTGTGATGAACAGCTAACGTTTGTAAGTTTTCAAGAAAGTTTGTGAGAAGTAACGGTAGAAATATTGTATAAACAATATGATAGGGTAAATAATGTTATAGTGCAATATTAAATTGTGAAATGTGAGAAAATGTGATACTACGGAGAATTGTCAGACATGCTGATGGAAGTTCAAAAGAAAAAGTTGGTGAAAATTGGATGTTATAATTTATATAAATTTGTATTAGAAAATTAATAAAAATTAATTGCAAAAAAAAGAAAAAAGATGGTGTCTGAGCTCCATCATGTAGCTCGGACTCACATTTTCACACTGCTTGCTTGGTGGAAAGTGACGAAAAAGAAACGATGTGCCCAGGCAGGTAAGAGAATACAGTGGTACCTTGGGTTAAGAACTTAATTTGTTCTGGAGGTCTGTTCTTAACCTGAAACTGTTCTTAACCTGAAGCACCACTTTAGCTAATGGGGCCTCCTGCTGCTGCTGTGCTGCCGGAGCACGAATTCTGTTCTCATCCTGAAGCAAAGTTCTTAACCCGAGGTAATATTTCTGGGTTAGCGGAGTCTGAAGCGTATGTAACCCGAGATACAGTGGTACCTCTGGTTGCGAACTGGATCCGTTCCGGAGCCCTGTTCGCAACATGAGCAGAACGCAACCCGCGTCTGCGGGTCGCGATTCACTGTTTCTGCGCATGTGCATGACATCATTTTGAGTGTCTGCGCATGCGCGAGTGGAGAAACCTGGAAGTAACCCTTTCCGGTACTTCCAGGACGCCACGGAATGCAACCTGAAAAGATTTAACCCGAAGCGTCTCTAACCCGAGGTATTACTGTATAGCTATGCTGTGGGAGTGGGAGTGTCTCTCACAGAGTTCTCTCTAGCAAACGTACAGGAAAACTCTGTGGGCTTCAGCTCCTACCATGTGCCTATCTAGCAAAACATGAATTGTTGGTTTCGTTTCAATTCCAGGTGCAATCCCCTTACTCCCCAACTCCCAAGAGTTTGTCGCCGGTGTCGAGCTGCGTTTTGGAAGTGAAGCGCGAGGTCAGAGATGAGATTTCTCCTTCTCACGTTAGGAGAGTGGACCTGGTGACCACAAATATTTTGGTCATCCAGAAACGTGGTTTCCTGGATAAGCCTGCTGTATAGCAAATATGATTTTAAGAGGACACTTAATATGAACTATGGTGAACTCTCTTGCGCAAGATGGAGCAATGCAATGGTTTAGGTGACAGCAGAGCACAGAACAGACTGAGGAGGATGCAGAGAGATCCAATAATGTGTTCTCTTCTGATGCAGCAGGTGTTCTGTTTGGCAGAGGCATTTTGTGTGGGGAATTCTGTTTCATCAGCAAAGGTGTTCTGCAAAGGAGCATGGCCTTGTCAGGGGTCCTGTTTCTCAGAGCACACACGAGGCTCTGTGTTGCCGAAATCTAGCTCCCATCGCCCCTCTCCATCACCCGCCCCACACCTCCCATATGTGAACCGCACCTCTTTCCCAGCAACGCACAAACTCGGCTCTCTGTTGGATGAATGATTTTTTCCATGATAACCATGTGGGCTCGCAACACAATTCCACCCATCTGCACCCAGTTCCATTAGCAACATTGTCACCCGCAATGAAATGACATGAATACCGGGCTATCATTGCCAACATGACTGCAGGAAAACATTAATTAGCCCTCATTTGCATTTGTCAGCGCTACTTTGGGAGAGACAAATCTGTCGCGGCAAAGATGCTTTCACAAACTATCGCTGCTTATGTGATAAGCAGATGCACCGAACCTTGCTATCTTGGCTGAGATCTGGCAGCCATAACCCCACACACCAAAGCGGAGGGTTCCTCGCAAGCTCCTGCCGTAGGGACAAGAGGTGTGATATGGGGGCAAGGTGAGGGAGAGCTTGTGCATGTGCCAGAAGCTGAGGGAGAAGTGGTTGGGTGGGCAGAGTAGTTGTTGAGACTAAAGAAGTATGGCAAGAACAACTATGGTTTTATAAGGCGATATTGGGGTGGAATAACCCGAGTCACTGATAGGTTAGGGGCAGTTCAGAATGGCTTCCCAGCATGTAGGCTGCATACAAAATGGCAGGGGCAGACCTTGGTAATATGGTGCCCCAAGTGAGGACAAAATTTGACAACCCCTAACTTTGAGTAGGTGTCTGTATACATATAGGGTACCTCTATAAATATGGTTGTTCTTGTTGTTGAGACCCAGGACCAACTGGTTGGAAACCAAATGGTCCAAGTTACCCCAAAGAAATACAGTTGTACCTCGGGTTACAGGAGCTTCAGGTTACATACGCTTCAGGTTACAGACTCCGCTAACCCAGAAATTGTACCTTGGGTTAAGAACTTTACTTCAGGATGAGAACAGAAATTGTGCGGCAGCGACGTGGCGGCAGCAGGAGGCCCTATTAGCTAAAGTGGTACCACAGGTTAAGAACAGTTTCAGGTTAAGAACGGACCTCCAGAACGAATTAAGTTCTTAACCCGAGGTACCACTGTACCTAAGTATTTTTTTTAAAAAATATTATCATCATCATCATTTTCTGCCCCCTTGGCTCTGGCACCCTATGTGGGGGAACCACCCACACTACCCTAAATCTGGTGCTGACAGTGGGATAGGCATCGCACATCAGTAGAGGTTTCAAGGCCAGGTTTCACCTTGAAACTTATTTCCTTATGTATAAAGGCTCACAGAATGGCTTCCAGATCAATGAAAGCAAGACAGTCCCTGCCCCCCAGTTGTACAGTCTAAAAAGACATGGCACAAAAGGAAAAAGGAATGTGAGTGGTGAGGAAATAAGCAAACTCGGATGCCAGTTCTTAGGCACAATGACTACATGGGATAGACACAACTGAAGGAGAGGAGGACTCAAAGGTTGGTGGTGTTC